GGCATTTGTTTTGAGAAGTGAGTTAAAAATTAATTTTATAATTTTTTATGATATTTTTTTAAAAAATATATATATATAAAAAAATAAAAAGATAATATGACTCAAAAGAGATTAAAAGTTAAAAAATTAACTTTTAACCTCTTCCCAAAAGAGGCCATGTATGGATTTACAAACTAGGGGTTAAGATCATATTCATAATTTTTTTAGGAGATTCTAATTTATCTATTATTATTATTGTTGTTGTTGTTGTATTTATTTTTCTGCTTATATTTAAAATTTTGGATTAATTAAACTTATTCTTTTCAATAATTAGTAATATTACTTTATTCTTCATAATTTTAAAATCACACATTTAAATCCCTCATTAATAAATAGTATAAATATTCTTTTGAAGGTATGAAAGTGAATTAATATTAATAAATATAGATCTAAATATGTAATTTTAAAATTAAAAAAAAATAAAGTAATATTCAATAATAATAGTTGAGGGAATAGACCCTAGAATGTAAAGCTGATGTGATAACTTGAATCTCATTAATTATTTAAAAAAAAAAAAAAAACTGTCTAATAAGACCATTCTTTACAAATAATACTCCTTTGACAGCATTTAATTTTAATTTAAAAGTTAAAATATTATTTAAAAAATTTAAAAGTCAATAAATTATATCAAAAAGTCAATTATTTTTTTAATATACTTTTACATATTTTCTCGTAAAAATTTATAAAATTATTCTAAACATACTAATTTTATTATCACATATTTTAATCAAAAAAAATTAAAAAAATTATTATAATAACCTATTTCCAAACGAGACCACCAATAAGCAAATTTCAACCATGGTTGAGTAGAAGCGCATAAATTAACGGATTTGGGGTCACTGCTGTGGCTAATGCACAGCAGTGACTGTTGTGTTATATTTTGTGATGTATTATGGACTTATTTTTATGATCTGAACCGTTCATTTTGTAGGATTTGTTGAGTACTTCAAGCCTACCAAAACTCATATTAATCGGATATCAACAACTATATGATCAAATTGCATATTTTTACACTATTTTTCAAAAGAAAAACTTCTTGTTTGTTTTTTTGGTTATCAATCATATAGTTATTGGTATTCGATTAATATGATTTTTAGTAGGTTTGAAGTACTCAACAAACCCTACAAAATGAATGGTTCAGATCATAAAAATAATCTCATAATACATTACAAAATGTAATACAACAGTCATTGCTGTGCATTAGCCACAGCAGTGACCCCAAATCCCCTTTCTCTGTCTAGCTCCCGAAGAACAAAGCCTCAATTAATGAATGAGTAGTAATTATATAAACAAAAAAAATTATCATACAGAATGTTGTCACATAGTGTAATTTTTTCATTTGAAAACATAATGTCTATTATTATGATATAATAATTTATGAATATATTATTGTCACATCATTTTCACAACAAATTTTGTATACATTTTTTGATAATTTTTTTTTCTAAATTGAATAAATATAAGAACTAAGCAAAATAATCCACAATAAAATTTATACATAATTTTATGAAAATTGATACGATTACAGAATTTATATATAGAATTTTATGACAACAATAATTTGACAATGACATTGTTAAAATAGAAGTCATCTTAACGAACTTTTTAGTTTTAAAGATATTAACATTCTTGAAAATACAATTTATTTATAAAATGATAGGTCCCCAAGACTATCCCACCATTCTAATTAAAAATTAGACATGTTAATAATAATTCGTCCCCTTAATTTTGTTCCCTTAATTTCACCTTCAATAATGCGAAATAAGATATGGAAAACGCTATAGGTGCCAAATTTTTTATCAAATGAATGATCAAATATCTCACGTCATTCAGTTGGTGAAAAATTTAATATCTCTAACATTACCCATTAAAGATACTAAAAATAAGAGAGAGAAGTGTGAGACAGTTTTACAGAGAAGTGAATCATGTCGTTGAGGGTGAAATTAGTGAGACAAAACAATGCAACATTTCAAAGTCACCAATTAACAACACCTAACACCACCTCCCAAGTGGGTGGAGGTTGTGTTTTGTTATCATGAATTCTTTGCTATTAAAGTTTGGCCACCAACATGTAAACGCACGCCCCCACCTAACCTAAATCCCCTCCCACACTACCGGATGAGTCCTTATATACCACATCACCAATTTTTCATACATTTTTTTTCAAGGGTCTGAATGTTTGATTAATCTCTTTCTTAATTTGATTAAAGACAAATCATTCACATTGGAACTAATAATTTATTTATTTATTTGTTTTCTTTGTTGGAAAAATGGTTTAATATAGGCATATTTTTATTAGCTCAAAATTGAGTGGGCCCCAAACGTCTTTTGGGGTGGGTCCGAAGAGTTGACGTGTTCCTTGCCATGTGGCAAGTCACACGGTGAAGACGGAACGTCAAAACCATTTATGAGTGAATGGGAAGTTGACGTCGTTTTCGAGACTAACATTAATTTTTTAGATAAAATTCCTTTGAATTTTTTCAATAAAAATTATTGTGGGAATTTAATTTAAATTCTAAATTCAAATTTTGGGTTCCTGAGTGGTTTCCTAAAATTTGTAATTGTGGGAATTTAATTTAATTCTAAATTCAAATTTTTGGATTCCTAAGTGGTTTTCTAAAATTTGTACCTCTTACTTTATTTATTAAATTATTCAATTTGTTTAATATATATATATATATATTCAATATATAATTTTTATTTTCTAAAATATCATTACTATATTATTTTCATATAAAATTTTTTATGAAATTTTTGTTTATAAATTATTTTTCTTAACGTTTGTAATTGTATTAATTTCTCTTATCCTTGCTCACATTGACCACATTTTGTGTAATTTATTAAGTCTTCTTTATAACACACACACACACACACAAACACACATATATATATTAGATAAATTACAGATACATACTTTCAAATTTGCTTAAAATACAATTTGTCTCTTATAATTTTAAAAATTATATTCTGTCCCTTGAAATTTTTAATTTCATAACAAATGACTTATTTTATTAATAAATCATTAAGTTAATTAATAATTTTAATAATGTCCGAAATTTATTTCAATTAATAATTTAGATAATTTTATCATCATATAGGAGAGTAGTTATGAATTTTATTTTTTCAGTAAATTTTATTAAATAAAAATTCAAACAAAAAAGCATTTATAATTTTTTAAATTATGACTTAAAACTATAAAGAGGAATTCGTACTTTAAATAAATATTAAAAAGGGTATGTTTCTGCCTTTCTAATAGTGACGGCGCAACACCCTTTACCAAAAAAATGAAGGTGCAAAATGGTTGCGTCAAAAACAATTTGGTTTCAGAATTCGTATTCAAAAATAAAAAAAGAAAAATAACAAAGACTTTTCCAGATCCTTCATTTCCATTTTAACCAAAAAAAAAAATGAAAAAGAGATCTCCATCCGCAAATGTCGCCATTACATATTTTTCGCTTCTATATGTTTCTTATATTGCATATTATTTATTTTGTAAGCATATGAAACTCTTTAGAAGAAGGGCAAATATCCCGTATAAATGGAAAATGAGAAGTAATTGTAAATCAGTAGATTGTCGGTTAGAAAAGTTCCTTTCAATCACAGTCTTACTTATATTAAAATACACTTCTCACTTCCATTTTATTGATTTGCATTTATTTTTCTCATTTCTCATTTATTTATTTATTTCTTGAAGTTATATTTGAATCGTATATTTAAATAAAAATAATCTCTCCGCAAATTTCAAGGAAACATACAGACAAGACAAGCGCATATAAACATGCAAAGTTTAATCAATTTACTCCAGTTACTTTATAATCAATTCACTCCAGTTGCTTTATATAAATAAATAAATAAATAAATAAAATCATCAAAAAATATTTTACTCTTCAGACTCCTGCTCGTATTGCTGGAGCAGTTGCTTGCACCCGGACATGCGCTGATCCCTCACAAAACCCATTGCATTGGCGAAACGGTTGTTTGAAGCAATCCCATTGTTTCGGGTAAGTATCACACGAGCACGGTCACGCCCTGGATCTGCCGTTGCACAGTCTCTCTGTGGGCTGCTAACTAGCATGGCATCACAGAGCTGGTTGCCATGGTCCTCTTTGATCATGATCTTGTACTTTCCTGTTGAGTCTGTTGTTCCATCAATGCTGTATAAGAGTTTGTGTGTGTCCCTGTCTTTGCATTCGATTTTAACCTTGGCACCTATTTCACAGACGTAACTAGAATCATAAATAACTGCCCATGGCTTCTGAGAATACATTGACAGCAATGACTAATTCTCATGACAAATAGGCTTTCCTTTGTTCTCATAAAAACCTATGGGTTCACAAAATGTTTCAATCATATTATTGCTTTTCTAATCAGAACATCTGAAAATCATATATATGCAAGCACCCTAGTCGTTACCTAGGAAGCACGGATACAGATGCGGGATACGGATACGATACGATATGGATACGGCGATACGGAAAAATTTAAAAAACTAAGATACGAGTACAGCAGGGATACGTTCGTAAAAATATTATTTTTACAATTTTTAGTAATGCAGTATGCATAAAAATAAAACCTATAACAAAAGACAATTTAATAAAGAAGAAAGATTCCTATAAAACTAAGGTAGCGTTTGGTAGAGTTTTGTAAATGTGATTTGAGAGTATGAGTTGTATTTTGAGTTTGTGTGTTGTGGAGTTATGATTTGAGTGTAGAAAATTTGTTTGGTAAAGAGTTTTGAAAATAGTTTTGGAAAAGAGGTTTGATTTGAGTGGGGAATTATTGATGTGACATTTGATATGTGATACAAAAATTTACAACTCATAACTAAACATACAATTCAAAATTATTTTAAAGCACATAAAAAATTAAAAAAATTTCAGAAAATATTTTTTCCGATTATATAAATCAATTGTGGATCATCCAATCAATGGGGCAGCAGAGCCGGAGTAGTAATCATGGCTCCCGACGGCGTAATAATTGAGTAGGCCATCAAACTCGGCTTCGAAACATCAAATAACCCGGCCGGACGTCCCCTTAGCAAAAATTTTGAAAAAAAAAACAGAGCAAAAGAGCGGCTGAGACAGATTTGGTACAGAGCTCTCAGCAGAGCTTTTGAAACGTGATTACAAAATCCTAAACAAACATCATACTGAAACACAGGTGTAGAATCACGTTTCAAAAGCACAACCAAACACAGCCTAAGAGTCTTCAAGATCAATAGCTTCAACTTGTTCTCCTTCATCAGTGAATATCACAGGACTTTAGCTAAAGCCAAAAAATCATTATTAAATAAAAATTTCAGCAAATATACTTTTTTAAGTCATCAATGATAACCTAGGAAGCACAGATACGGATATGACGATATCTCAAAATTTGAAAAAGTATGATACAGGTACGGGTACGTTCGTAAAAAAAATATATTTTTATAATTTTAATAATGTAATATGCATGAAAATAAAACTTAAAGTAAATTAATAAATAAAGTGAGATTCCTATTAACTTAAAAGTCTTCAAACATTCATAAAACATCCAAAACTAAAAACAAAAGCAAATGCAAATTAAACATCATCCTTACATGCCAACACCAAAAAAAGAATGAGAGCAAAGACAATAAACGCGAGAGAGTGAGAAAGCGAGAGAAAAGTGAGAGAGATAATAAGGATACATCAATTTGACAAATTCTATTACTTTAACTCTTACTATATTCCTCTTATCAAAGAACTAAACAAAATATTATAAGTAATATGTAACTTCGAGTATCCGATACTTCAAAATTAAGTATCTGATACTTCAAAATTAATTAAGAAGTATCCGATACTTTTAAGAAGTATACGATATGTATCCGCGAGTATCCAAGGAGTACCGGTATCCGATAAGTATCCGATACGGATACGTCTCCCTTTTTGAAGTATCCGTGCTTCCTAGGTCCTTACCCTGCATAATCTCTACCTCCATTGTTTTATTATCAATTTCTCTCTCAATAAAGAATTTGGTGATAACGTTAAAAGGACTCAATGACACAATTTCAATTATTTTGTAGTCAAATCTAAATACGTTAGTTCACTAGATAATTTTATACCAATTCTTGTAAGGAGAAAAATATAAAAGTTCACTTCTTAAACACATTTTATAGAACGTGTGATGTGTTAAAAAGGTAATTAGTTGATAAATAGAAAATATTTAATTATCACTTAATTTTTTTTTTGACACATCACTGAGTTCAGAAAGTAAGTCTAACTTTTGAACCTGAATAGTAATGCTCTTTTTGTAATTTTTTGAGTTGGTTACCTCACTCATCACACTAGAATAACAACAATGATTCATCCCACTAAAAACATCACCACTAATAGCACTAATGCATTAAAAAAGTATAAAAAAAATAAATAAATACAACTCCAAGACCAAAACATCACATCATTAATGGCGGGACCCACTGCCACCTAATTAGTGGGAGCACTAATTAGTGCTCCCAAGCATTTTTCCTAGAATAATGCCTAACCGAAAAAGAGAAACACAATAAGTATAGGCCTACACAATCACGCAACCTGCTTTTTTTAATTATCAACTTTTAACTAATAATAAGTTAAACCAAAGAACAAAAACATATCAGCGAATGAAGTGTAATTACTGTATTAGACAAATTGTTTGAACGAGCAGGATGATGACGGATTATAATAGAATACATTATTAGTCCTAAATAAATAGGACTTAGGCTATTTAGTTAGAAATGATATATATCTAACTATTAATTTAACCTCTAATTTTCTAAGCAAACGATGAATAATAAATTTATTAAATATGAAATTCAATCTAACACCTCAATCACATCTTTGCATTCGATTTTAACCTTGGCACCTATTTCACAGACGTAACTAGAATCATAAATAACTACCCATGGCTTCTGAGAATACATTGACAGCAATGACTAATTCTCATGACAAATAGGCTTTCCTTTATTCTCATAAAAACCTATGGGTTCACAAAATGTTTCAATCATATTATTGCTTTTCTAATCAGAATATCTGAAAATCATATATATGCAAGCACCCTAGTCCTTACCCTGCATAATCTCTACCTCCATTGTTTTATTATCAATTTCTCTCTCAATAAAGAATTTGGTGATAACGTTAAAAGGACTCAATGACACAATTTCAATTATTTTGTAGTCAAATCTAAATACGTTAGTTCACTAGATAATTTTATACCAATTCTTGTAAGGAGAAAAATATAAAAGTTCACTTCTTAAACCCATTTTATAGAACGAGTGATGTGTTAAAAAGGTAATTAGTTGATAAATAGAAAATATTTAATTATCACTTAATTTTTTTTTAACACATCACTTGAGTCTAGAAAGTAAGTCTAACTTTTGAACCTGAATAACAATGCTCTTTTTGTAATTTTTTGAGTTGGTTACCTCACTCATCACACTAGAATAATGCCTAACCGAAAAAGAGAAACACAATAAGTATAGGCCTACACAATCAGGTAACCTGCTTTTTTTAATTATCAACTTCTAACTAATAATAAGTTAAACCAAAGAACAAAAACATATCAGCGAATGAAGTGTAATTACTGTATTAGACAAATTGTTTGAACGAGCAGGATGATGACAGATTATAATAGAATACATTAGTAGTCCTAAATAAATAGGACTTGGGTTATTTAGTTAGAAATGATGTATATCTAACTATTAATTTAACCTCTAATTTTCTAAGCAAACGATGAATAATAAATTTATTAAATATGAAATTCAATCTAACACCTCAATCACATGAAAAAAACAACCCCCCCCTCACGGTACCTGTCAATTAGGCCAGTTAGGCCACCGGACTTTTAATAATGTTATTTTAATCAAACACTTTTACTAAAAAAAAGAAAAAAAAACCTATGTAGGCCTAAAAATAAAGCTGATTTGAGTTCATATGTTTAAATCATAATTAAAAATAAAAATAAAAATAAAGTGAAGCCTCGTATAAATGTTTGTTTGTTTGTTTGTTTATTTTCTCCTATATTTATACTGGTATCAAATAAATAAATATTTGTACCTGCGCTAGAATGTTCTAAATGAAAAATATATATATTTTTTGGGTTTTTGGGTTTGGATTCTAATATAAATGTATTAAATATATGTTCCACCAATATGACATTTCTTCTACCCAAAAGCCATTATAAAAACTTATTTAATAAATGGATTAAAAATATTATCAATTGAAAAAGTATATTAGAAAAACTTTACTCTAATTAATTAGTACTTTTGCATTTTGAAAATTAAGAAAAATCAAAATTAAATAAAAAATTTATTACTATTTAAAAATTTAAACAAACAGTAGTTAGTAATTGGGATGCCCCTTCAAAGATACACATAATGCATGAATTTATACTAGGATCAATGATGAATGTATGCAGATTTGGTGGTGCTATATGTACCGATTGGTATATTAATTAATATATCGATATATATTATGGACTATTTTGAAAAGATAATTAAAAGCAATCTTCTAACTTTTACCCATTTTGAGTCATATCATCTTTCACAACTTTCACAAGTTTTTTCAGAAAAAATAAAAAAAAATCAAAAAATTAACTTTTAACCATCTTTCCAAAACAACTCATAACCATTTTTCCAAAATAACTCATATTATTACTGACCTCACCCATTTTATACTAATTGATATGTTAATTAATACATATAGCATTATTCATGTAGATTAGGTATGGACATTTGTTAGGCAAGGTCGTGTTTGGATTGGTTTGATACTATATAAATTTTGTGTTTACCAGCCCGGTCATAACATCGGGCCTCTATATTTGTCCAAACTCAACCCAAAAAATAATTATAAATCTCAAGATCACCCCCATTATGCTATATGTTAAATTTTTTTTCAAAATATTCCATAATTAAATTTAATTATACATTACATTTTTTAAATAAATATATTAATAATATTATAAATTAAAGAATTTTGCATATAAATTAAAAAATTTCTTAAATAAATACAATCAAATATCACAATAAACATGAAATTTAATAAATTAACAAAAATAAAATTTAAATCTTAACAAATATATATATATATATATATATATTAATTAATTAATTTAATAATGACGGAGCCAGAAAAAATATAACTCTCAAGTCCATTCCATTAATATATTGGGGTTGAAAATGTCCATCCAACCCGACCTGATAAGCTAAAATAATCTTTCTATGCCTTAAAAAAAAAAAAGACCGATGCCCACCCCATTGCAGATACATTTTATAATCCCAAAAGTACGGAAATTAATGGAAAACGAGCAGAAGAGAAATGAAAAGGCAATAAGGACAGGAGTGATAAGAGGAAGTTTAGTATACCGGGAATGGGGGTTGTGGCGTTGGTCTCGTACCCGGCACGGCATGTGTCGCAGTACACTCTACCCTCCACGATTAACGGATTCGCCACCGGCCGATTAGCGCTAACTAGCGCCGGCAGTATACAGAGTGCCACCATCAACATCATTCTTGCCATTGTTGCTTCCTTCTCTTTCTTCAACAACATCATATATCTATATATATATACAGAGAGAGAGAGAGAGAGGAGGCGAAAGAGTAAAGTGAAAGTAAAAAAGTGTGAACTGTGTGTGGACAGTGGAGGAAAGAAAATGGAGGAGAAAAGAGATGTTGGTGAGGGAGGGTTGAATTTGGTGCGCTCAGCACGCGTCCAGCTTAGCTTTCTGGAAATTGCATCATTCCAATCAGGAGTCACCGCGTTAATCAAGAGTCAACGAAAGGAGTGCGGTGGTGCTTTGTTTGGAAAGAGTTAAGGCAATTGTAGATAATGTAAAGACATACCTAAAGATTTCAAAAAAATTTATTAAAATTTTTATTTATGTCATATGAATATGAATATGAATGGTCCAGCTTGCAGCTTGTCTCCTCCTATTGCGATCAAGATTGGACTCGATCAGTTTGGCTTATGGGGTTTATTTTTTGAGCCCGTTATGATAATCCGAACCGTTGGATATTTAGAACTCGTTGAGTACTATATGTCTGTAAAAAATCATGTTGATCGGATATCAATAGTTATGTGATCAAATCAGTTTTGTATAAAAAAAAGGGACGGTGAAAAAATTAACAGTTGATAAAAAACTGTATTGTTCACATAGCTATTGATATTCAATCAACGTGATTTTTTACAGGTATATACTACTCGACGATTTCTACACATTAAATAGTTCAAATTATTAAAATAGAACCCGTAGTAGACGTTCATGAGCCCAATAATACAGTCCAATTCAACCTTAAACAGGACCAAAGTCACTGCCAATATGAATATACCATGATGAGTCTTATATGAATTCGATGTGAGATATTTATTATAATTTTTTTTTTTCACTTTAAATAAATATGACAACTGTAGAGGAGCTAATATGAGTACAGCTGGCATGGCAATGTCGGAGGCCGTTTCATTGGGATTTGAAAAGGTTGCGTAAAGTGACAACTGTGAGGATCGGATCGGATGTGCTCCATTCTACCGCTCTGGTTTAGTGCGTATTTTCTGGACATCGCGTATTTGGTTAATTTTTTGTCCTTAAACCTATGTTCGAATGACCAAATCCACCTGAAGACCTGCACAAGAGTTCAACGGGGAACGGGGAGTCCCTCAACGAACTCTCCGACGAGCAAGTTAGAGAGAGAAGTAGAGTGTAGAGATGGAATAGAGATAGAAAAGCTTAACCTTCTACATGTCTTCGACGTCTGCTTATATCCTTTGGTAATCATTACGTTGTCTCTTCCGACCTGTCACCTTGGCCGAAAGTCTATGCTGTAGCTTACCTTGTTCAAGGTGAGGGCGTGTTGTCCCGACGGAGAGGGGTTATCGCAATAAATGCTGTAAGGGGGCCTCATTAATGGCGATGTGTAGTGGCAATAACTTTGCAGATCTTTGTCTGCTGATGTGGCTTGCCATTTTCTCGCCATGTGTCTTGATGTCATTGGTTCTAATTGCTACATGGGGCTTCGGCAGTGTTGAGCTTCAGCATTTGAGATATGTGTTGGGCCCTAAATGGTGGGCTCTAATCTTTATGGGCTTACCCATGTCAGTAGTCCCTTATTCCCGAGTGCAGCTTTAGTCCAACGCAGGGAATATTGAAGAGAATAAGGGTTGTGAAAGACCGGCAGGATGAAGGCCGACCGAGCGGGGTGACCGACTGTGAGGAGGGCCGACCGCGAAGGGTGGCCGAGTGGAGGGGCCGACCGTGCGGAAGGCCGACCGCGAAGGGTGACCGAGTGGTGTGGCGCGGGGCTCGAGAGACTGTGGGGCACGTGCTGAAGTGAAGTAGAATAGACAGGAAAGGGGAAAGGGGCAGTGGATCGTGGCCATACACGTGGTAGAATCTCGTAGTAAGGGAGGTTAGGCGTTGGGCGATAGGCGAAACGATAGGTCATTATAGGGTGTTGAAAAGACAGTTGTGGTGGAATTTTGAAAATTTTCAAAATGGCGAGAATTAATTGTGACCCTTGGAATACAGGCAAGCCGTGGGCCTTTGGTATTATCCGTTTTACCTGGCTTTTTGTAAAAAATCAAAACATTCCAAGTGTAAACTCCTTCGTTGCTAGCGATACACCTCTGCAACACTTTTTGAATTTTCTTGCGCCCGCATCCGAAGCCATTCACAGACACACGACAGAAATGGCCCAGGAAGAAGCTAGAACTGCCAGGGTGGATCCACTAGGGGACGATGATGCGGTGGAGTTGACGGAGCAGTACAGGACGGAGAGGCAAGTGGAGAGAGTAGGGGAGCCGGCGGGACCACCGCGTTCGTTAACAATGATAGCGGCTCCGAAGCCAATCAACCAGGCTGAGCCAGATCATTGGCATATGAAGGCCGACAAGTCGATCGTTACTGCGGGGGAATTGGAGGGTATGCTCAAAAAATACCAGGTTCCCGCAGAAATAGAATTGATGTTACCAACACCAACGGAGAGGCCGTCCGACGCCCGACCGGAGGAGTTTGCCCTCTACGAGAAGGTGTTGAAGGGTGGGTTGAGGTTGCCGCTTCTGCAGGTAGCAGTGGATGTCTTAAACCGACTAGAAATGGCGCCAGGCCAACTAATGCCCAACGCGTGGAAGATTGTACTGGCCTGTGCAAATGCGTGGCCGAGGGCGAACGAGGGGGCGGCTATAACGGTGGATGAGTTTTTTGCCTGCTACAAGGCCTCGGGCCAGCAAGAAACTTGGGTCACTTTGCAAGCGACGGCAGGGAGGGGTCTGGTGGCGGGGTTGCCGTCATCAATTAAGGGATGAAGGCTGCGGTGGTTCTACGTGTCTGCGAATGGGGGAGTGGAAGTTCGCACGGTGTGGAGAGTGCCCATCAAGTCTGTGGAGCCAAAGCTGGGGGCCACAGCGGAGGAGATGGTGAAAAAGGTGAAGGCATGGAGGGAGAAGGAGGGCGTCAAATGGGACGATCTCGTCCAGCCGTCCGCTTTGTTCGCCATAGGACTGGGCCCTCAGCCAACCAATGGAGATCTGGCACCGACAGAACTAGAGGCGAGAAGGAAGGCGCAAAAGGTGGATGATTGGACCATTTTTGCCAAAGCCCAAAAGTTCAAAGAAACACAGTTAGGCCCGCCACCAAAACCGGTCGGGGAGGGAAAGAATCTGACCGCGCCCCAAGCCGTTGGGGGAAAAAGACCAGGGCAGTTTTGAGCCGCGACAGCCCCTAGTTAATCTGGTGAAGGAGAGGGCAAACAAGAAGGGGGAGGCTCTGAAGAAAAAGAAGAAAAGGGTTGCCCCTGATGGGGCCTCAGATGCGCCTGGGTCGAAGAGGATGAGGGTTGGCGGGGAGGTTACCCCCATGGCAGTGGAGGCAGGGGAAAAGGGAGTGGGGGCGACCTCAGAAAGGGTGGTTGCCCTAGAAGTGCAAGGAGACGGAGGTCAGGGGGGTCAGGAGGAAGAAACGCACATGAGTGCCATGCCCAAGATGCAAGTAGAGTGTGGGTCAGCCGACCCTGAGGAGGTGATGGAGCAACAGCCTAAGGGGGGGCCTGCGCTCCGAAGAAAGGTGGTCAGGCTGAAGCATGCCATCTATCACGCCCCCGCAGTGGCTGGGCGACTGGAGGGAGAAGAAGGCCCAGCCAGGACAGCGGCAGATCTTCTCTTGGGGGTAGTGGACGAAGCAGCCGTGCGCTCTGCCACCAGGTTCAATGAGGCTGAGCTGCTAAAGGGGCTGTGCTCTGCCCAAATGGAGGCGACCACTTTAGCAGGGGCTCTGCTAAGAAAGGCGGTGGCTGCAAACGGTGAAATGAAGCCTCTGAAGGCCAAGTTGGAGGAGGCGAAGGCCCAACTTGAGAGTTTGAGGAGTGAAACTGCAGGGTGGAGAAGAACCGCGTGAAGCGTTTGCGCTAGGGGGTTGAAAGAGGCTCAAAAGGCTCAGAAGATGGAGGTGTTGGCGATCGTGCAGCGTAATGTTGCCGCTTGAGCCCATGCTGAGCCGCTCGTGGTTAAGTTGGAGCTAGAGGATGAACGCCACAAGGTAGTGTCGCTCGAGTTCCAGCTGGCTGGTGAGCAGAAGAAGTTGGGGGATGCTCAAAATGCCTGCACGGTCGCCACCGAGTGGTTTGAAGAGGCTATGACCAGCAATGAAGAACTGCACGCCCAGCAAATCAAAGAAAAGGATGAAGCAGACCTGAAGATTGCTAGGCTGCAGAAGGAGCTGGAAGATGAGCGCGCTAGGGCAATGGAGGAGAAGGCGAGGTTGGAGAAGGAGTTGGAGGAAGAAAAAACTAAGGCAGCCTCTGAAAGGGCAGTATACCCCAACCTGTACGTCGTAGCAGTGGAGCAGTTCAAGGGGTCTGTTGACTTCCAGATGGCGATTGATTCCGCGGTCGCCAGCAACTTGGCGAGAGAGGGGGCTGGGGGGGCTGGCCCGTCGGGAGCGACCACTGGGGGCACGAGTGAAGCAAAAGTGATCCAGAGCTTCCAGCGGTCGGACTTCTACAAGCACGAAATGGCTGAGTTTTGGGACAACGGGTGGAAGATGTTCAAGCGTAAAGCGGAAGAGCTGTTCCCAGACTTAGACTTAAGCGATGTCAAGATTGACGATGATGACGTGGCCCAGACCCCCCTAGACGAGGGCGTTGAAGAAGAAGACCTTGTGTCAAGTGAGGAGGAATGATGAGAGTGGACAAAATTTGTACTTAGAGTTTGTTTTTTGTTTTTTTTGAATGACTGTAATAAACTTATGCACAAGTTTGTGAATAAATAAAATTTTGAGTCTTGTTTTCATGCTATTGCTTTTGTTTGTGCATCTGAAATGAATGAGAATGGTGACTTGTATAAGGCTTGTGTATAAATCATTGTGAAGTACAAAATGTGAGGAAAACTCAATGTAAAGTGAAGTTTAAAATGTAAGGCAACCTGAAGAATGTTAAAAATGAAGGTTAGCTTGTAAGAATGTTAAAAATTAAGAGTTTCAAATCATGACCCAAAAGTGGAGTCAGTCTGGCTTGTAAGGGTCTCCAAGAGTGAAGTTTTTAAATGACGGTGTAAGGGTGTTGATAAGTGAAAGATTAGTTTGGAATTTGACTAAGTAAAGAATGTTGTAAAAACATAGACCTGGAATTTTGACTAAGTGTGGCCAGTATGCCATAACCGTGACGTTTGCATGACTGGCCTTGACTGAGCTCTACATCTGTGCTCAGTTTAGGAGAAGCTATGATTAATTGACCCTTCAAGTAATTCAGTAGCTTCAAGTAACTCAGTCTGACTGAGCTCTTCGGGTTCAGTCTGG